TATTCACTTTCACAGCTGAATAGGATTCCATTAGCTGGATATGTTATAATTTATGATATATTTATGCCATTTTTTATGACTAGACATTTAGGTTATTTCTGACATTTTTCAAACATAATCATAAAATTAATAACTATGAGCCTAAGTACTTTAATATTCTTAGAGATATATTTTCTAAGTAAATTTCTAGAAGTGTTATTGTAGGTCAAAAAGAAAGTGCGCATGCAATTTTTTTAAACCTTGCCATATTTGCTCCTGTCAGGACTAAACAAATCCTATTCTGTTTAACCTTTTCTAATTTGTGGGAATTAAGGCTATGTATGCTAATATCAGCTTTATAAATAGATATCCTGACACCTCTAGAAAATAGAATACTTTAGTTATCTCCTTCTCAGTCTATATATACCAAGTTAATTCACTTATTCTATAAATGTATAATTGAATCCTTTCTGTAAGTCAAGATCTCTGGAAAAGACAAAGTTAAAGAGAAGTTAGAATCTACCCCTTCAATAATTTATATTTGGTAAATGGGTAATGCAATGAATCAATATAAAGCTCAGTTGGTTGTGCAAACTTCATGCCCAAGAAAGATTCCAGGCACTAAGATGGTAGAAACACAGTCCACACAAAGTTTTACAACTCTTTCAATCTCCTGTTTTAGCTGCATAATAACAGGGTCCTATTTTGTTCTGTGATACATTCATTGGCTAGTATAAAAACAAAGTCTCTGTTATTAATAAATGCTTTAGAGGAAATTTTAATGATGTAACTTATGCAAGCATTGTACAGAGTACTTGTTTTCACAAAACCTACTTTTACAGAACAACCTTAAGTAACTTTTAAAAAAGAACTCAGATTTTAAATATGATATTTACTAAATACAGAAAACAAAGCATCTGAATCTAAGTACAAAAGTCAAAGAATTTTCTTTCACCCCATGAATCTTCTTAATCTCTTTTTAGAAAACAAACAAACAAACAAAACCTTCTACCTGAAACTTTAACATTTTGGCCACTCTCTTTCACATTCATTTACCCCATAACCTCACCAAATGTGAGGTTGTGGGAGAAATGATTTTTTTGAAGGCTCTCTGGTGCCCTCTGTCTTCTTACAAGTAAAGAATTTATGTCTCAATCATATTTTCAGGAATTTGTATTTATCTTTGCACTTTATTTTCCACTTGCTATTTTTTTCTTTAGATTATAGGACATTTATAAAGTCCTGATATTCTTAACCAGCTTGATTTAAGAAGTAATAAAGGCACATTTTACTAGGAACATCTTACCAATATGTTTATTTTTTTCTTTTATTTGCAGAGGTATTGAAATAACAGATGTTATAGTCTGATTAAAAGATGTATAAACATGACTCTGATGAGGAAACCCATTACCAGTTGCCCTAGGTTTTTCTCCAATGAAGTGTAAGGTAGATCATTCTAAACAGTAATTCAGGGAGCCAATCACTGAGCTCTCAGAGGGCAGACCAAGGTCAGAAATTCAGATTTCTCTGAGGTCCAGAAAGGTGATGTGAGGTAATAAAGTGAGCTAGTGGCTAATGATGGCAACAGGATATTTGATCAGTCTTGTGTCCTATCTTGAAAAGTGAGGCACATGCTCAGTTCTAATGAAATTTACTTCAAGGACAGTGATTCCAGGTTTCCTCAGTTATCCAAAAAAGTTAGTAGTCCGTATTTTTAATGAAATTTTTAATTTGCTTAAATCGTGTGTTAAATAATGCAGATAATAATGCAGAGAGTGAACTGCCTGTGTTATTATAGATAATGAGCCACCTGATACCTCAATGTGTAAAACAACTAGTGCAAAATGATAATGTAGCTATTCCTTAGGTTCTTGGATCTATCAAGAAAAGCTAATCAGTTGAATTTTCAATAGAAATTGATTTTAAAAGAATTTAAATATTCACTGAAATATTTGTGGCCCTTGTATTAACCAGCTTGGACTGCCATAACAATGCCAGACTGGTTTTCTCACAGTTTTGGAAGCTGGACATCCAAGATCAAAGTGCTGTCAAGGTCATTTTCTGGGAAGGACTCTCTTCCTGGCTGATAAACATTCACCTTCTCTTGTGTCCTTGCATAACCTTTCCTTTGAGTGAATGTTTCGGGAGATTGAGTTTTGATAGCTCTTTATCTTTTTATAAGGACCATTGTCTTATTAGGTTGGTACCCCATCCTATGACCCTATGTAACCTTGATTACCTCATTAATGGAAGACTCTCAAAATTCAGTTACTTTGGAAGTTAGGGCTTCAACATTTGAATTTTGGAGGGAAGTAAATTACAATGCACCATATAGACCTCTGTCTTATAAAATCAAACTTCTCAGGAATCCATGGGACAACTATAATTGTCTAGTCCATAGTTCTTAAATTCTAATGTGCACTGGTACCTCCTGGAGATTTTGCTAAGAAATATTCTCGGGCCTCACTTTCTTAGTTTCTAGTGAGAGTTCAGATTGTATATTCCTAATGCATTCCCAGGTGATGGTGTTTGCTGCTGTTCCTAAGACCACACTTGGAGAAACAGTGGTTCAACATCTGTCTGATTTGGTTTTGTCCATCAAAATGATCCCATGCTCTTTCTGTCTTCTGGAAATTCTTCATTCTTTTTTGAATATCTCTCTATTGCTCAATAGGGGTACTATTATGAGTTTATTCTAATAAATTGAAAAGACTCTTTCAAGTGATGTTCAGTTAAACAAACAAACTTCTCCATAAACCCACTGTGAAACACAGTGTTGGCAATTGAAAGTATTATAAAAACATTTTCTTCACAAGGTGAACAAAGATATTTAGATCAGGGAACCAGCGGTTAGCGTAATGGCTATGTCGCTGGGCTCCCACATAGTCGACCGCGGTTCGTGTCCCGGACCCGGTGGCTTAAAACTCACGCCGGGCACGTGTGCGTGCGTGCCCAAGATCCCGAGAGGAGAATGGAGGAGAAGGGATTGCGGCGTGACCATCCCCCCTGGGGGGTGATTTCTCGCTTTCTGTCTCTATGTCTCTCTCTGTCTGTCTGGCGAGCGCACGCGCCCTACAGTGAAAATCTCTCCAAAAATAAAATAAAATAAAATAAAGATATTTAGATCATATAATGTTGAATGCTAATAAGGTAGTGCAATTGGTGCTGGATTTTGGTGGGATATTCAAATTACACTCAACTGCATTAAAAAAAAGTATGCAGTGAGAAGTAAATAATCTGTCCTCTATGAAATGTATTGATCTTATAGTATGAGCATATAGTATAAATTTATGGTCTATGGATACTAAATATTCATGGAGAAAATTTTGAAATAGTTGTGAAACAGACTGATCAAAATGATTATAGAGGTTGCAGCAGGTTCTATAATAAACATTTAAAGAAATTGATGTTTTTTACAAACATATAATACATGTCTTACACTGACAGATTTATAAAAAGTGAACACATAAGTGTATAATCTATGGCAGTTCTCAGTTTTTGTTTTTGGTTTTGTTTTTGTTTTTGTTTTCCTGTCATCAAATCTGATGAGTGAACTTAACCAGTGAAACAAAAATCACATGGGTATACCTCAAATTATTCATGGTAATTTTTATTCTAACTTTCACTCTACCATCTTGATGTAAAACTAGCAAATTTAAACTTATTATTCTTTTAATTTTTTTTAAATTTTTACTTTTTTGTTTTGTTTTATTTTAGTTTCCCCACACACACATAGGGCATGTGCACTCACTGTAGAAAGATGGAGAGAGAAACAGAGAGAGCCATCACCCCCCAAGGGGGATGGCCATACCTCAACCCCTTCTCCACCATTCTCCTCTCAGGATTTTGGACACACATGCACACATGCCCAGTGTGATTTATGTCTCTGAGTCCAGGACTTGAACTATGGTAAGCCATGTGGGAGTCCTGTGCCTTAATTTTCATGTCAGCAGCTGAACCCTAAACTTGGTATTCAAGAGTAAAGTATTTATAAGATGATTTTGTGTCTGATAAAAAATTAAGTAAATGATAAACTTCTGAACTTTATTATTGGTAAGGTACCTTATGAAATATTGACTGATAATTATTGAGCTAGATTTCTGAAGAGTACTTCATTTTTTTTTCTAAATTATAGGGATTATAAAAAGGATTATGAACACTTGTTAACTATGTTACAGAGATTGACTGAGATAGATTTACCATGTAAGTCCATTTTGCTTGGTGTTGAGTAATAGCTTTTTAATAGCTGAGAAAACAATCAAATGAATAAGCAGGAACAATTGTCACAGGTTAATATCCATCCTAAATGCTTTATAGTCATCATCAATCAAAAGTAGGGAACTGAGCATTAACAATCTCTATATTATTATTTCTGGGCTTTCCTTTATTCTTCTTTAAAATGTGTTTCCCAAAGTCATGCTCTAAATGTACTACCTAAATTTTTATTCCCTTTGAAAGCAGTTCTGATTTCAAAAGGTTATTTATGTATGTATATCATCTTCTTCCTTTGTTTTTCATGTCAGTCCATGTACAGAGGATCACCGGTTAGTACAAATTTTAGAATTTTTAACTCCTGATTTTTATAGGTAAAAGAGAACCTAAGTTTCATGGTATTTGGTAACAAACTTTGAAGTAAGTGCATCTTCTTAAACTACTCATCACAGTTTCTTTTACGTTCCAGTGAACTAATGTAAAGAAAAATCTTTTTGTTTTCCCTCCTCCCTGTTTGACTTTTTTTTTTTGGTAATTTCCTGCATGATGTTATATTTTTCCAACTTTAAACACAAAGATTTTGAAATCCATTTGATAGTGGTTTTTATTTCCTGCACCTAACAAATTCCCCTGAAATTTTCACTGAACCTGTGTGCTTGTTTGTTTTTGGCTCACCGTACTTACTCTTGTGTGCCACTACATAGGCATGACCAAATCCTATCGATAGCTGCTAAAGTGCTGAGTCCTGCATTATAAAGTGAGCTCTACTATTCCAGTGCATTACTAGTTCAGTTTTTCTTTTTAAACAGATTAAATTAGTCAACATTAACTCCACTGATATAGCTGATGGCCGACCATCAATCGTTCTTGGACTGATGTGGACCATTATTCTGTATTTCCAGGTATTGTGCACAATTCATTTTTTAGTCTATGTAACTTCAAGGAGGGAGATAGTGTTGAATTTTTTAGCAATGCCCTTATTTCCTAAAAATTCCTAACAATTTAACAATGCCCTTATTTGCGATACTTTTAGAGTTGATCTTCAGCTTAGCAGAAATGTGACCTTCACACATATGTTGTTTCTTGGTAGCAGGAGAATTCTCTTTTTTCCTCTGCAATGGCATTGTATAGGGAGCCCCCTGTCTCCAAAGAACTTCAGCAGACATGACCAACTGGAGAAGTGGTCACACCACAATGCAGATGACATAGAGATGTAGGAGGAGCTCGGAGAATTTTTTTTCTCTACAAAAAGGACCAGTTCTAAGCTCCTATTGACTCCAATTTCTCCTATGGGAGAAATTGACTTGTCATTCCATCCAGAGTAATTGTTTTAGTCATTAGGTTTTGTTCATTCATATAGTTAACAAATATTCATTACTGCAAGTCAGATACAGTTAGAGGTGCAACAGGAAATACAAAGAAGAGAAAGACACCACTGATGCCCTTTAAGGGCTTACATTTTTGGCAGGAACATTTGGTATTAAGATAAATCATATTTAGTTAGAAAAGTAAAATATCTGAGAAAGGAAGAGCAACAATAATTCTGGTCCTTTTGCTGTTGGTTAACTCACAAACAGATTGAAGAGTTGACCAGTAACCTGCCCCAGCTACAGTCTTTGTCCAGCAGTGCATCCTCGGTGGACAGCATGGTCAGCTCTGAGACTGCCAGCCCCCCAAGCAAGCGGAAGGTGGCCACAAAGATCCAGGGGAATGCCAAGAAGGCTTTATTAAAGTGGGTCCAGTACACTGCAGGGAAGTAAGTACCAACGGATTGTGGATATTTGAAACCCTTAAATAATTTGAGTCACCAATTTCGTACTGCTTATATCTCACAATAATTACAAAATTGAAGAGACATGAATAAATGGCTTTTATTTATTATAGCTCTTATTTCCATATTTCGTT